CAAGAAATACCTACGAAATGTTGACGTTAACCTACATACATAAGAGTAATACGACAGTTGAAATAGCCGCAGTTTTGCGGTGTGCGTGCATCTTTTGTGAGCTTAAGTTTGGCAGTTGCCAGTTGTAATTCGTAAGCTCTGTGAAAGAGAAACATAGACAAATTAGAATTTAACTTCTCGTGGTTCTTTTTTGTTTTAGCAATAATTGTTAGTCTTTCGGAATTTATTTGTAACAGGGTAGAGTCATTTCTTGGGCAATCCGTCATCGCGGCGGTACCTAAGACCCGTTCCCGTGAGGGTCCCGTGATGCCTCTCGAGCCAATCCTCCATGGATTGGCTCGAGAGGCATCACGGGACCCTCTCATACCGACTGACGCAGGTGATCACTGGGAAAGGATGTTTCGGGGATCACCTGTGTCTGATCCGCAAGAAGCCAACTCCTGAGTGCCCCCACTGCGATGGTCGGACCGTGGACACGGCGCTCCACACGCTGGCAGAATGCCCGGCGTGGAGCAGAGGTGAGACCTCGTGGCGGCCATTGGAGTGGGAGTTCTCTCGCTCGATAACCTGATTGCGGCTATCGTGCGAAGAGAGAGTGCGTGGAACTTGTTGAACGGTGGATGTGGCTAATGGGATCACTTTTAAACCAAATAAGGCACTTAGACTTCTAAACGTATTTATTTTGAACTTTACATTTTTATGGATATAATTTATAGAAAAATACACATGATACTGCTATAAGATATTTTTATAGAATGCCAAGAATATGCAAATATCAATTCAGTCTGAACAAATAAAACTAACATTCCAAATTTAAAGTAATTTAAACCTTTATGTATTATAAACCAAACAGATCAGAGTTGACATCAAAAGAGTAAGTATATCTGAGATTACCATTCAACAGAACTCTGCCGTCTCCTTCTGCGAGCCCGTTATCCTTGCGAAGGAGATGGCGGAGCAGGACCGGGGGAGGTTAAGAACTCTCCCGTACCGCCAGGCTCGGGAACGGGCCAGCTACCGCAGAACGACCTCCATCCTCCATAAGCGAAGGCCTGCGGGTGACAGGTGAGGCCATCTGTCTCCCTAGCAGAAGTAGGCCGGGCTGGTGGCAAGCGCGTTGCGAAGAGTTCCCACGCAGGGGGGGGTCGTCTACCCACTGTAGATGGCCCGAGGTACGTACGCCCGGGCACCAGGGATTTCCTTTCTAGGCTACACCTGGTTCCCCGACTACTGGTACCAGAGACGGCGTGCGGTGTTAGTCGGTTCGACTCCGACATTGCCACCGGTAAGTGGAATCCGAGGGGATTTCCGCACAGAAAAAAAAGGATAGTCATATCCAAATATTGATTTAATTAAAAAAGGCAATTTTGTTTTATTTCAGTTTGATCTGATTTATTTAGTTTCAATCCATTGTTTAGATATAGTCCATTTATAGTTAATCTGCATAGTCTAACCGATAAATCAATCTTTTGTAAAGGCTGTTATTTATTTTCTAGTTAAATAATCTCGTTAAGTAATCCAAGTGAATCACGGATTCGTATGTTTGTTTGTCGTCAGTCACTAGAAGCTTATATAATTTATCTGCCTGCTGAAGCCGTAGATTCTACATCGGCCTGTGGCGATGATAACGATGATAGACGTTGGTATTGACATATTCCTGTCACATTGAAGTCACTACTGCGAAGATACCAGTTTTGTGTTCCTTAAACACTAAGGGAAGTTCCTTCAAAAAGGCTAGTTGATCTTGACTAGCGTACCCTTACTAATTGGTTGATGTTGGCAACTTCTATTAAAAAGGTACATATTGGCGCAAGAACTATTTGTGCGATGATAGATATGTAAACGTTTTGGCTTTGATAGATAATGTTGAAGTATGTTTTTGCTGTATGTAGAAGTTGTAAAAGTACATTTTTGGATCTATACCTTAATTTATAAAAACAAAGTTACTCGTAGTGGTATCATGTATTTAAATTAGGTAGTGTAACGTTTAATACCAAGAATACAAAAATAAATCTCCTATTATTTCATGTCATACCACGGAATAAATATATTAATAATACATAAAATTACATAGGTTTTGTTGCATGAAGGTTTTTGTAACATTTTCAAACTCGCCCTATTGAATACTGATGTACTGATAAATGAAGTCACAATTCCGTGTTTCCGAAATTTATTATTACTGAAACGATACTGTTCAAGAGTTTAACCTTCAGGTTGACAACCTAAAGTATTATTCAATGTCCTCAAAAGGAAGTTAATGGTTTTCGGCTGTGTTTTCATGTAGGATTATCCTTTTGACACGTCCATCCATAAATCGCTTTAGTAACCTTCGCGAGTCTTGATTGTTGCTTTACTTAAATATATTTTTCAATAAATCTTGTGTAATTCACCTTCTTCCTGATTCTGGAGGGGAGTGACTCAAAGTGACTGTGACTCTTGAGTTGCAGGAGTCCATGGGTGGCGGTAGTCACGTACCCTCAGGTGACCCGTCAGCTCGTTTGCCCCCTACAAAAAAAAATCTTGTGTAAAATGCCAGTTTTTATAGTTCATGTTTTATTTAAGTGTTTTATTCCTTACGTTGTTATTAGTGACCGTTTTTATCAGGGGTGCTGACAATAAATGTATGAAGAAATCGACGATACTCGCACCATTATACATTGTGGACGTAATTCTTGTTTTTATGGTGAAAACCTATTCTTGGGAGTGCCGTACTTCCGTATGAAAAATGGGCCCTTATAGGGTCAGTCTTACCGCCTATCACGCCCCATTCGCTCCGATATTTTATTTCCTCAATTTAAATTCTTGCGACCCAAATTTTAAATCTTGATTATGTAGGAGAACATGCTCATTTGTTGTCTGTAAGAGATTGCCTTTGAGCGATAAGGCCGCCACTTGTACTGTCTCACCTTGTTCAAGTTATTAATTGTTAGTATATACCTGATGTACAATAAAGGGATATTATTATTCACCTTATTTATTTTATACATATGTATATTGATTACATTTTTCAACATATACTTTAAAAATGAAATTCTCTATTTCTATTATAGGTAATCTTTTTGACTGGCCTGTTGATCTAGTGGTTACTGACCCTGACTACTACGCCAGAGGGCGTGGGTTTGATCCTCACTCAGGACAAATAAATGTGTGATGAGCACGGTCATTTGTTCTGTATCTGGGTGTACTTTATCTATAATATGTATGTATTTAGAAATATATGCTTGAGATGTGTGAAAAAATTATTAAAATAATAATAATAATAATAACCTCACACATCTCACACACGGCTATCTGATCCCAAACTAGGCAGAGCCTGTACTATGGTAACCAGACTGCTGATAAACATACTTATAAATTGCTAAATACATACATATTATAGATAAATTACACCCAGACACAGAACAAATGATCGTGCTCATCACACAAATATTTGTCCTGGGTGGGAATTGAACCTATAATATTATATCCACATGAATTTAAATTACCTAACGTTAGATAGTCATAGAAAAGCGCTTTATAACTAAGATTATAATATGTAAGCAAATGACTTAGTGTCTATATAGTTGGGAGTCTTATCTTTTTCGATTGCAAAAGTAGGTACCCATCATACCGGATACCTGTAAGTAGAACTGACCAAAAAAATAAATTTGTACCCCTTTAATAACAATTTCAAGTGTCCTAGGCTGTCTATTGATGATGATGAAGTATAATTCGTGTTTGAAATATTTTTTATAAGAATTTAAAAAAGCTTCTTTTAAATCAATAAAACGGTTAAACAAAATAAACTTACCTAGACAATAACTACTTAGTAGTGTTTTAGAAACTGAAAAAAATAACAAATTAGAAAAGGTATAATACTTATATACTGTTTTTGAGATATATAAATGAGTGTTTTTGGGATCGCCATGCTACAAACTTAGAACAATGAATAAAACATCTAAGTGTCGTACAGCTTTAACTGAAAAAGTCCTATTTAGTTTTAACACAGTTTATTATTTAGCTATTTTGATAAAAATCCCTTATACTACGTAACGTGTTAAAAAGTGAGCAGTTTAACATGTTCGTTGTTTAACGTCGTTAATTAATTTACAAATAAAAAGTGTATTTTAGATAAAGACGTTTATAAGTAATACAATAGAATTTGGAGGAACATTAAGGGGAAATAATATGAAATAAATATTAGGTCAAAGGTTATTTGGATCTAATATTTAATTCTTCTTTAGATAAGTTTTAGTCTTACAAGCTCTTCGAGCGCAGCTTAATTGATCAAATGTAGAGACGTACCACCTACTTTTCACTATAAAGTAGTATTTTATTGTTCAATTTGCGACTTGGTGTCTATGTGTTTCTACGTAGAAAAAAAACTATGTACATACATATGTAGGTAATATTGACGTTTTAGATATCTACAGTACAAGCTGTACTTTGTTTGGGTCTAGAAATCTAGATAGCGTTGTGTGATATGTCCCAAGATATTATTTTTACTTTCTTCTATGTCAGTTGCTTATTACATAGAGTGCTGTGCAAACTAAAAAACATTTTATTTGAGAACCTATAAATTGGAGGTTCTACAAACATTCTAGAGCCAATAATTGTAATTAAAAGATTTTCTGACAAAAAAGATATTCCATAGTTCAAGGACTCTTGAGTTTAGAAGGACATGCACCTTATACTTACACACACGAGGATACACACGCCTTATCTATGCTTCGGAAAACTTAGTACTTCAAACAGCTGTTGCTTTCATTATAAACAAGAATTTATAAGCGAGGGAAGGTGGCGGTGGCGCACAGTTGTCTGTCACAGTGCAGCGGTGTCTACGCCGCACTCACGTTCTCTGTCGGCCGCTTACAATAAATTATTCGGACGCTACATTATTTTGCCGCGTATTATTTGTAAACACCGTAGAACTGTTATGAAACCTGAATATATGTTTGTATGAAAAGAATACTCACTAAATCACAGTGCTTAAATAGTATTAAGTGTAAAAAGTGACAAGGATGAATTATTTAGCTCCGTTATTATTGGTCTTCGCGCTTTTTCAAGGTAGGTGTATCTTTAATTCCAATTAATTTATTATATTATAATTAAAACACGATTTTGATTAACCTACTTAGAATGAATTACACATCAATAACGTTTTATTTATTAGCTATTTTAGTAAATGTCGAAAGTGGTAGGTCCAACGATTTAATATTCTGCCGCTATTCTGCTATGGGGAAGCCATGCTCCGGCACCAATGGGCCAGGTTTGACTGGAATAATACACAGCCTCACAGAAAATTCAGCGTCAAGCAGTTCTTTCTTTGCTTTTTATAGAGTGAGTGAGGTTACTAAAGCCCAAAGATTCCAAGAGTTGCAGGTGTCCATTCGCGGCTGTGTCAATTACCATCAGATAATCCGTCTGCTCTTTTGCTCCTACTATAAAAAAACGGGACAGCTGATAAACACAAATTAGATGGTGCTAAGTGTCTGCTCTAAAATATTATTGATGAGTTTTTGAATGTTGAAAAAAGACTAGTGAAATACAATAAAGAAAGAATAGTACTAAAAGAACAATGCCTTATACGAAACAAATTCATCAATAAAGAATATCAACAATATTTAGGCACATTTGCTCACGAAATCGTAAATTAGAGTTTATTAGTTTAAACTCAGTTTTACGATTAAGTAATAAATAATATTCCGAAAATACTAATTTACATTTGCAAAACAAAACATTAAAAAAAATGAAAAAAACCAAAGGAACCAACTGAAGATTTGAATTTTACAGGAAATAGGAAATCTAACATGTCTGCTAACCTAGTTAATCTCTTTTATATTTTACAAGTATATTAATACTTATTAAAATATGGACACGACTATATTTTGTCGGTTTTCGGAATAGACTTGCGCAGTCACATTTTATGCTAGTGCAATGACACTTAATTATAAAATCATTAAAAGAATAATTTACTCTTAAATTAAATGATTAAATGTATAAAATAATACCACCGTTGCTAGTGGAAATCTTCGGATAGGACAAAATGAAGTTCATTTTGTGAACGATTTGTGATTTAGATGGTTTGACCGATTCTTGAACATTTTTATTAACCTTTAGGATGAAAGCGAATCATATTTTTGCGAGCGTGAAACCTTCAATGACTTCGTAATCAGGTGAACCTAAACCTATCATGTCCTCTCCATTGGAGGGTTACGGCTTTGCCGGACAAATGATTCTTTGCCAGTGCCGTGTCGACTACCTCTGAAAGGATTTGATAATACACAGATATTATTTTCAAAGGTTACAGCTCCACAGATTGTCGACGTTTCTCCAGTATACGTTCTGCCATCTGGGATTTATATGGGGTAATAGGTTTCCTATTCTGTACTTCTGACAACATGTGAATATGTGTCCTCAATACGATGATCTGTTAAACTGTGAAGTGCTACAAACAAACATTCAATTTCGCATTAGAGAAATAGGGTCTTAGAGAAATTTAATCTAAATAAGTAAATCATATTTACTGAACACATTATCGGGTTTCTTTGTAGCTTATAGAGCTTCTCTAAGATTCTCTGATCGTAGACTGGATCGTAGGCTCTATTAGGTTAGCGGTTATTGTTAAACACTTATCATCATAAATCCATATTCTTATTAAAAATGTATTATTATTACCATCAAATTTGACCCTGTTAGAGATAGCTCATGACATCAGATCCACGGTTCTCAGAGCTAGAATTTTAGAATACACAAGTAATTAATTTGTATATTTATCCATGTATAACACACCTATATTGCCAGAGTTGTAGCCTTAAAACCAAATAATTCGAATAAAACAACCAACTAACAACTAAAACAACTTTTTTGACAACTAATACTATCTACCAAAATTAAGTTTGGTTGGTATTTTGCGGTGACTAAACTACTCTCTCATTTACTATGAAATTAAAAAAGCACATGGGTATAAAACCAAATGTTTATTCATGTAAATTATGATTGTAGGGGTGTGCAAGTACATAATAATATATTATGACCATTCAGATACACATCATTGTAAAGTGCAAGATTAGTGTACTAGAATAGAATAGATAATTGTACCAGTTCGTTTTGTTGCACTGTCAATAATGGGTACGTTCCATGTTCGTATTTTCTACGGTACTGGTACAATACAATGGAACTGATAAGCCATAGAACTTAAAAACAAAGGTTTTGTTAAACTGTGCTATTTATAGTGAAATGAACAAATGTTGTCCAAGATTTACAATTATAGGTAAATCTGGACACTAAATAACAAACAGGATTATGTTAGTCTAAGATCCCAGGGCCAAAAGACTTACGGAAATTGAGCACAGCTGGGTCAGTAGCATAACTGTTGTTGTAAGAAAACCTTGAAAATTAAAGGGAAACGTAAAATTTGGGTAATCAAAAAGGAATCGAACCTTTACTTACTATATCAAACATTTTGTCACTTTACGCAGGAACATGCTAGGTGCTTGCAGCTCAGGTCATTGGCCAGGTTAGGTGGGTAAGTGTCTTTCAGTGACCTTCAATCGATATTTTATTTTCACGTAAATTGTATTTAGATGTTATCTACCAACACTAAATGTTGAATATAAAATAAAAAAAGTATCCTTCTTGGTTTTTTAACCTTATAAATATAAAAATATGTGGTAATATAAAATCTAACCGCATCTAGAGCGACTGTTTGAGTCGCCCTACCCAGGGTCGGTGCTAGGTTCTCGTCACCATAAATGCTGTACATTTTTTTTCTTTTTTTTTTTTTTGTTGACGGGGTGGAAAATCCCTTCGGATCTCCTGCTCCTCGGGGACTCAGGAGCCAGGAGTATTTGGTGATTCCACTAAAAACCACCCCGACGGCCGGCCCTTAGGTGTCCTACTCTGGGGAGAACCCGGACCATGTTATTTCAGGTCCTCATAAATGCTGTACCTACATAGTTTCTCAATAATTATAGACATCAAACATGCCGCCGCAAAAATCCTAGTAAGGAAATCGCTGGGATAACACTTTGCCGTGACAGTTTTTCTTTAATGTACACTAAATTATACCCATAGGTACTTATGTGGACAAATAAGTCACTGCTATGAATGCCATGGAATTTTTCCTATGTTCCAATTACAAAAGAAATTAAAATAGCCAAGCTCAAAAGTGGAACATGTATAACTTGCGTCATAACAAAAACATTTTATTCTCTTTAATTTATTGTCTGTTTTTCGGAATGGCTCTTCCTAGAACTATGTGTATAGGACAGTCTATTGCTCTAAATATTGTTAAAAGGAAAACATTGTTGTTTCTATGAGTCAAATATTTATAGCCAAATTTAATTAGATAATTATTTTAAAACTAATGTAGCAAATCCGAAGTTTTGTCGATGGTTCTTGATGGATCTAACGTTGCGATAATCAGGGCCTCAATTCTGCTATTTTATGTTTACGCCAAGCCACTGTCATACCACTGACACGCTATCGAGATGCCATCGAGTGGCCATTGGCATCGGTATAAATATCGGTAGTTGAAAATATATTACGTTTTTTCAGGAAATGATTTATTTATTTTATTATAGTAAATTATTAAAAGAAATAAATACATTAAATTAAATTATTAAAAAAAAATATTTTTTTTTTTTTTTATTAAAATAAAAAAAAATATTTTTTTATTAAAATAAATAAATCATTTCCTTATAAATTGAAAATATATTACGTTTTTTGAGAAAATGATTTTTTTTTTATTATAATAAATTATTAAATAAAAAAAATATTAAAGAAATAAAATATAAAAATTATAATAAAAAGAAATAAATAAATTATTAAAAAATAAAACAAAAAAAATAAAGCTATTGCATAGCATTTTTAATCAACTTATGCAATTATAATTTTTTATTTATGCAGTATTTTTTTTCCTAGATATTAATTCAAGTTTTTTCTATTCCACGCCAACAAAGTCGCGGGTACCAGCTAGTATTAAATAATTATCTCAGGAAAAGCCTATAGAATTTTGCCCGGCTCGGGAATCGAACCCACTAAGGCAGCGTTTTCAAATTCCACGCAAACAAAGTCGCGGGTATCAGTCAATAAATCTGTAGGGACCAGATTGTTCGACTCCTTTTCCCGGTTCAGACGAACCCAAACATGGGGGGTCCAAGTGCTCCAGGTACTGAGAAAATCAAAGGGGGGATAAATGAAAAAAGTTGAGGGGAGAGTGGGAAGGTATTTTGTGGGGACCTCAATGTAATCATAAAAAAATAAGTCATCCCTCGAAAATACCCCCCCCTTTCGCCCCTCTTTAGAATAACAGACTGAAGTGTTGTTACATGTTACGATGCTTTTAAAAAAAAATATCTGTAGGGGCCAGATTGTTCCTTTCCTTTTCCCGGTTCAGACGAACCCAAACATAAGGGGTCCAAGTGCTCCAGGAACCGAGAAAATCAAAGGGGGGGATAAATGTAAAAAGTTGAGGGGAGAGGGGGGGAGGTATTTTGTGGGGACCTCAATGCAATTATAATTTTTTTGGTGGGGGGGGGGAGGTATTGTATGTGGATGTTATTACATTAATAAAAGTTCTGCTATTCATCGATAGATGGCAAAACTAAAAAGTATCACCGCTGTGCCGGTCGGAGTGGGGAACGTGCGGTTTTTTTTCGTTACGAAATTTCTGGATTCGGTCCCCGCGCTCAAGGCCCGCGATAGAAGCTATGCCATAGCTTAAAAACAAAAAAAGAATCATTTCCTCAAAAAACGTAATATATTTTCAAATTAGAAGGAAATGTTTTATTTATTTTTATAAAAAAAAATATTTTTTTATTTTAATATTTTTTTTTATAATTTAATTTTTTTAATAATTTAATTTAATGTATTTATTTCTTTTAATAATTTACTATAATAAAAATAAATAAATCATTTCCTCAAAAAACGTAATATATTTTCAACTACCGATATTTATACCGATGCCAATGGCCACTCGATGGCATCTCGATAGCGTGTCAGTGGTATGACAGTGGCTTGGCGTGAACATAAAATAGCAGAATTGAGGCCCAGGTATGATGAAA